CCTCTTCCTTCTTTCCATTAAAGTCTCTCACTTTGCGGGGGGAAAAAAGATACTGTGTGTGTGTTGGCTGGGGTGTGGGGCCCGTGCCAAGTAATTTAATAAAAATTAAAGGCGCTTACAGGGAAATGTGAGTAAAATATAGTAAACGATGCCCATATAATATATGTTACTAATAAAAATGATTTTACATAGTGCTTTTCATATACAATTAGAGATTAGGTACTATAAAATACCTTATGTTCTGTGTGGCTATTTTAAAAATGCTTATTTTACTCTAGTTTAGAAAATAGTATAAAGTTTACTTGTCTGCTGCATTTAACACAGAAGTTCAGTATTTAATGGCTTCATCAAATAGAAACTGAAGCCTAGTAGAAACTACTATTCCCTGTGCTTTTATTAAATTAAAAGCATTCATAATTATCTCAGAAGAGCTGGTCATTAATTAAGGTTTCTGAAGTGCTTAGGGAGTTTCCTAAGGAAATATACCAAGTCTCCCAAGTCCTGTTAGATGGAAACCTAGATTTGAAGAAATCAGTAGAAATGCCAGTTAAATGAGAATCTAGGTAATTTCAAATATGTAGTCAATTCTGACAACTGCAGAAAGTAAAAGAGAGAGAATCGGATTCGCCAATTAGATGACAATATGACCATCCCTGGCCAGGTGGTGGTGAGTGGTACAGCTGAGTGAGGCAGGACTCCCCAGTTGTTGCTGGACACTGCTAATAGGGCAACCAAAAACATCCCCATTACCAATAAAGCGAAGTCCTATTCATTTAAAAAATTGTTTGGGTAAGGAGCTTAATTAGAGTTTCTTCTTTTCATATTTTTACTGAGTAGCTCTAGGTGTTTCAGCGTGAGCAGATAACTCAGTCGGAAGGTCTCCAGAATGGGAAGGTCTGGCCCACCAAGGTTTCAGCTCATCACTGTGCCTCCCGCCCACCACAGTGCCTGGCGCCATTGGCACGGCACCCGGTTACTCTTTACTGAGTGAGTGAGCATACTCATGTTCCCTACTAGTCTTTTAACGTGTATGTTTGCTTGTTCGCTAACAAAATGGGCTCCCTACTGTACACGACTATGTTCTAGCTTTTTCACTTTTTATTACCCCCCGAGGCTTTTCTCATATAAAATATTCTAATCTAAAATACGGTGATTTTTCTATAGGGTATAATGTTCCTTCCAATATCATACTTTATTTAATCATTTTCCTATGCAGGTGAAATCATATACTCTTGCACAACACAGGTTTGAACTGCACGGGTCCACTCATAAACAGATTTGTTTTTTAAGAATATTCTAAATGTATTTTCTCTTAAGATTTTAATAACATTTCTTTTCTCTGGCTTATATTAGTGTAGAAATACAATCTATATATAATAAATAAAACATACAAAATATGTGTTAATCGGCTGTTTATGTGGTCGGTAAGCCTTCCAGTCAACAGAGTAGTTAAGTTTGGGGAGCCAAAAGTTATACAAGAATTTTCGCCTGCATGAAGTCAGTGCCTTTTTCTCTGTGTTGTTCAATGGTCAGCTGTAGTATGTACTATTTTGTGTCTTGTGTTTTTGTCCACCATAATGTTTTTGAGAGTCATCCATATTGTTACATGTATCAGTAGTTATTTCTCTTTTATTAGCTGAGCAGTATTCCATTATATAATGACTGTTGTTGAGTAAAGTACCTAAGAGTAGAATTACCTGGTCAGAGAGTAGGTATCTATTGAACTTTATAAGAAACTTCCAGCCCTAGCCAGGTGGCGCAGTTGGTTAGAACGGCATCCTGATACACCACGGTTGCAGGTTTGATCTGTAGTCACAGCACATACAAGAAGCAACCAATGAATGCATAAATAAGTGGAACAATAAATTGATGTTTCTCTCTCTCTCTCCCCTCCTCCTCTCTCTAAAATCAATAAGTTAAAAAAACCCTTTCAAACATTTTCCCAAAGTAGTTGTAGCATTTTACTCATAAGCCACGCAAGAGAGTTCCAGGAGAGTCCCTCCTGGCCAACATGTGGTACTGAGTCTTTAATTTTAGCTCTTCCACTAGGCTTGTGCAGTGGTAACTCAGTATGGTTTATTCTGCATTTTTCTGATGACTAATGATGTTGAGAATCTTTTCATCAGAGATATATATTTTTTGATTGATACTGCCAAATCAGTTTCCAGAAAAGTTAGCTAGTTTACAATTCTACTGACAGTGTTACTTTTTAAAAGATTTTATTCATTTATCTTTAGAGGGGAAGGGAAGGAGAGAGGGAGAGAAATATCAATGTATGGTTGCCTCTCGTGCATCCCCTGCTGGGAACTGGCCTGCAACCCAGGCATGTGTCCCGACTGGCGATTGAACCATGGTTGTTTGGTTTGCAGGCCCGTGCTCAATCCACTGAGCTACACCACCCGGGGCCAACAGCATTACTTTTAAAAATGTTCTCCACCCTGGCTGGTGTAGCTCAGTGGATTGAGCAAGGGCCTGTGAACCAAAGGGTCGCTGGTTCGATTCCCAGTCAGGTCACATGCCTGCCCAGGCCAGGTCCCCAGTGGGGAGTTGCTTGAGAGGCAACCACACATTGATGTTTCTCTTCCTATCTCCCTCCCTTCCCCCTGTCTAAAAATAAATAAATAAAAATCTTAAAAAAAAAAAAAAAAAAGCCCTGGCTGGTGTAGCTCAGTGGATTGAGCGCGGGCCTGCAAACCAGACATTCGCGGTTCGATTCCCAGTCAGGGCACATGCCTGGGTTGCAGGCCAGTTCCCAGCAGCGGACGCATGAAAGGCAACCATACATTGATGTTTCTCTCCCTCTCGCCTTCCCTTCCCCTCTAAAGATAAATAAATAAAAATCTTTAAAAAAAATGTTTTCCAATTTGCTATTTGAAAAATAGCGCCTTTTTCAAATTTACATTTTGGATTACTTATGAAGCTGAACATCTTAAAAATGTTTAGTGTCTTGTCTTTATTCTTTTATGAATTCTTTGTTTGTGGCCTTGTCCCTACTTATATTTCAGAGCATTTTCATTGAATAGTGAAGGTCTTTACCCTAATACATGAGATGCAAATATTTTCCCAGTTTTGTGCCTTTTAATTGTGCTTATCTTTTTCAAGTAGTTAAATATAACATTCTTTTGTAATTTCTTTCATTAGTTTGAGCTTAGAAAGTCCTTACCGCAGTTCATTAGTCGGTTCTGGTTTGGTAAATGTGCACATGGCAGGAGGGGGTGTCAGAGTCTATTGGCGTCTATTAACTATTTATTTATTTCCTGTAACTTGTAAACCAGGTTCCCTTATTTTGATGTTATGCAGTGGCTCCAACTTGAAATACAAATAGTTGGTTGATTTTTCCACTACTGTTATTGAATCCATCTTCTCACATGGGTTTGCAATGTTTTTAAAAACTTTTTGTTTTTAGCTATCCCGTTTATGTTCTTTCAGATGAATTTTAGCATCTATGCTGCAGGAGACAATTTATTTTGATCTTTAGAGATCTGCTGTTTGATAGAGGTGTGGAGCTCTGGTTACTTCTTAAATGAAGAACTTCCTCAGGATATCTGAAGTCAAGACCCAATAAAGCAGAACCAAATTCTATTCAGCTCCTAATGTGGCCCTGCCTTGCTAGAGTTACTATGAAGGGCCTGGGTTTAAACTCCGAGGCAGAATTCTGATTCCAGTATATATGGCCCCAGTACATAAATCTACATGAATGCAGATTCCAGCTTAACCCCCATAATCTTTTAACTAGGAGCTGTCCAAAAGATTTTTCTATGACAGAAACGTCCTATTTTACCCTGTCCCCTGGCCACACATAATTCTGGACCATGTGAAATGTGACTAGTGCACTTAAGGTACTGAAGACTTATATTTACATTTTTATTTAATCTAAAAGTCCATACCCACATACTATTTCTTATTGGCCACCACAGGAACTGTTAAAGTCTGCTTTGCCCATAATTTGCATATATTTCCCTGAATCTCTGTTTCAGTATTTCATTATTAATGCTAAAATCAAAACAATTCGACTTTGTTAGGCACTATAGTCGGTGAGGGAGGACAGTAGCAGTTAAAACACTTTCTGTTCTAGGCTTACAATTTAAGGAAAGAAAAGGTCAGTCTTGAACCTCGAGATAAGCCCGATTAAGACTTTCAGGAGGGACTTGCCCCTCGGGTTCCACAGTCGACTCGAGAGCGGGGGGACACTGCGAACAAGGGGAAGAGCAAGTTGCTTGCAGATGAGGTGACACCCAGGACTTGAGAGGGGTCCGTCCTTTCCCGGAGGAGACACTGACCATGGGCTCCCATAGAGGCCGCAGGGCCACGGCGAGGGTCTTACACAGCCCACTGGGAAACTCAGCCTCCACCCACCCCCAACTGCACTGGAACCGGGATGAAGGCAGCGGTCCTTCCTACCAGACTGACTGCTCTCAGCAGGTTTATATTAGAGGCTTAAATGGGTTGCTGGACGGGGCAGGATGAGCTGTGGGAAGGAGCGGGGTGGCGTCCATAATGACTCCTCCAGACAGCGGACAGAAGACCCAGAGGAGTGGGCGGAGGCCTGCAGTGGGGACAGAGTGGGAGAACACGGGCTCTGGGCAAGGCGACTCCAGGGTGACAGGAGGCTCGTGGCCCCGTTCGCCCCAGCCAGGCCACAAGATGGCCGCTGCTCGGCTGGGACTTGCGGTGCAGGACCTCGGGGCTGGGGTTAGGTGCCACAAGCCCGGGCAGCCGCCCGCAGCCAAGGCCTCGGCCTCAGGGAGCGCCGGCGGAGAGGGAGAGAAAACGAGCTGTCGGAGCAACAGAGGAAGGGAGCGCGCGTGCGCAAGGCGCGGCAGCACCGGCCTAGGGCAGGGGTACAGCGCGGGGTCGAGACAGCCGAGGGCCTGGGATCCCCAGCAGCACAGACGCCAGCGACCGCGGGGCTGCGCAAGGGGCCACGGAGCGGCGGCGGCGCGCGGGCCGCCGGGAAGTTGGGAGTGAGCGGTGCGGGAGCGCGCGCGCGCGCACGCGGGCCAGGCCGCGAGCAGCCGCGGCCGCCTGGGCCGCCTTCCTGAGCCTCCTTCTTACTTCTGCTCGCGACTCCGCTCCTCAGGAAGGAGCGGCCGGTGGGTCGGCGTGCGGTGCGCGCGGTTCGAGGCCGGGTTGCCGAGCTTGGGCCTGGGCGTGGCGGGCTTACGGGGACGCGGAGCGGAGACCGCCGGGGACGCTGGCGGAGGCGCACGCTGACGGTCTCTGGGAGCCGGTAGGAGGCCGAGAGGACCATGTCCGGGAGGAACCTACACCTCTCCACCACCGAGCGCGTCGTCAAAGGTGCCGATCGGGCAGGCCCTTCCTCATCGCTCAGTGGGGAAAGGGCCTTCGGCCGGGCGGCGGTTCCGGCCAGGGGGGAGCGGGCGCGGCAGGGCGGCCGGGGACCCGAGCTGCGCCGGTCGGGGAGGAGGATGCGGCCGGGGGCGTGGGAGCGAGAGGGCGGGATTCCCACGATGCTGCCCCACCGGGGCCTCGGGCGTTTTCTGCGGCACTTAGACGCGCGGCCAGCTGGACTGAGAGGTGGGGTGGGGATTTCTCCTCCATCATCCCCAAAGGGCCTGATCCCATCTTTTTACAAAGAAACCATACCTCCTTTTTAGCTTCTTGCCCCGGGGAAGCCGGCTAGGGGGCGTGGGGAGGGAGTCTTCCTAGTCGGAGCCTTCTGCCGCTCCACTTCTTAGGATCCGGCCAGCCCCTCCCGCGCCCCAGGATGTACACCTCGTACCTCGTGGCCCACTTTCTCCAGATCGTCACAAGTCACTGCTGTTATTTAAAAAAATGAGATGGTGAAATGAATACAAATAAACCCATTGCATGGTGTTTGAAAGGGACTGACATCTCCCGGCGCGATGTTGGTGTTTAATTTCGCTTTTGACCATAGAGACTCGGAGAAGGATGTTTTCCGATTCAGATGTGCGACTTAAACGGCAGCTCGCCTTCTGATACTAGCAGGGTTGTACCTGGTACGTTTCTGCCCTGAAACTAAAAAGGCCGGTTTAGCATACCCACTAACTGACGTGCTGCTTTCGTTCAGCCCCTACACAGCGCAGCTCCTCTGAGTTGGAACGATCCATTTGAAAACGCTCTTCGTAAGCTGGTCGTTACCTGGACCAGCTGGGTTAGTGGCTGCTGGACGAAGGAAGTGGGGGAAAACTGTTAAAATGCTTTCATCTTTTCATTTTTATAAGTAGGAAGAGAAAGTAATCTAAGATTAGAGACAATACAACATTTTTAAAGTGGAAAAACCTATGGAATGGTAAACGAAGGGGGAGAATTTTAGCATTGAAGTAGGTATTTTTTCCTCTAAACACATTGAGTCATAAATATTGCTTGTCTACAGTATGTAATTTTAACCTGTAACTTACATTCCCCCCTAAAAAGTCAGCATTTTAAGTATTGATCCTAAATGTTGATTTTCTACACTATAATATTTAGTAAACATAATGGCATTTTTGAGATTATGTACTCAGCATTTGTCTGGCATCGTTCCGGATCTTAAGTGAATTGTTCCTGTAACTGACAGCCCCTTTAGCTGCTAAATTACTTTGGCCATTTTGATGTCAGTTTCTTATAATATGTAACTCATAAAGAGTATATAGCTGTCTCTTAACATCAGACTATACTATGCATAACCTTTTTTGATAAGTCAAGGTCATCATTATAAGCATTAATCTCCACCTGAGCTGTTACTGTGCCGTGACCGGCATCCTGCTCTCCAAGGGGGCTGACAGTTTCCTCCCGCAGTGAAGAGACTCCTCAGGCCCACACCAGTTCAATGCAGTTGTCTGTTTTCAATTTATCTCCTCCAGTCCTGTTTTCTGTCCAGATATGCTCTTCTAATCTGCCACTTCTAAACTGAAGTGAGCAGGAAACTAGATAAATCAGAACTGTATCAAGTCAGAATAAATGGGATGTGAGTGAAGCTTAGTGGCAGACCTCAAACCTTCGTGAATCTCCAATTCTGATGGCCATAGTAGCATGGAATTTCCATCATAACATGTCACGAGGCATGAAGGAGATTTTGAAATGAACTTTCAGACCCTTAAGTATAGAGGTAAAGTGAAAGGAAATGCTGTTAAAGTGCAGTTGCTGGCTTGTTGCTCAGCTTGCTCACAGTTAAATGAATGCCTTCATAGTCTGTATGATTCAAATTTGTTTTTTGGTGAAGATAAATTACTACATGTTGTATACTTTATAAGATTACTTTTATTTATTTTTATTTTTAGAAATGTGACTCCTGCCTTCACTCTGCTTGTGCTTAAAGATTGTCTTTACTTTTAGAGAGAAGGGAGGAGAGGAAGAAAGGGAGAGAAACACCAGTGTGTGAGACAAATGAGATCTGTTGCCTCTTGCACGCCCCCAACTAGGGGGACCTGGTTGATAACCCAGGCTCATGCGCTGACTGGTAATCAAACCAGGGACTTTTCCATTTGGAGTCTGTCAGTCAATCCACCAATCTGCACCAGCCAGGGCTAAAAGAGTACTTTTAAATAAATGAAACATAAATGGGCCCTTGGAATGTGTGGCTTTAACGTGTTTATAAAAGCTTTAGCATAAGAACTTGACCACAGCAGTTTTGGCTTCTTGGTGATTTATGTTGCCTTTTTTATGGATTTTCCAGAGTTTGAAATACTTGAAGTTTGCTCTAAGAAAGTAAGAACCCATTGTATTACACAGGGCACTAAACCCTGATCTGATGTTATCTTGTCTGGCAAGAGTAGTCTGCACTTTTTCACAGCTGGAGATCTTTGTCTGAGGTGACACCACAGGCCAGTTGTTGGGTTCTGTCATTTCCTGTTAACTTTAAGGTCTACTTAATTATTTTGTTTGAGCAACTCTTAGGAAAGAGTGAGTGGGTGGGGAGTGATTTGTATTGTGTGCTTTAAACAGCAACTTTCCTAGAATGAAGGACCAGTGGTCAGAAAAACTCAGTTTCACTGCTGCTCTGGAGCTTACTTGTGACTGCCTTAAAAAAAAAACAAAAAACTTGCCTTGCCCTGGTTGCTGTAGCTCAGTGGATTGAGTGTGGGCCTGGGAACCAAAAGATTGAGGTTCGATTCCCAGTCAGGGTACATAACCTGGGTTGCAGGCCAGTTCCCATCAGGGGACCCACGAGAGGCAACCATACATTGATATGTCTCTCCTCTGCTTCCCTTCCCCTCTAAAGATAAATAAATAAAATCTTTTAAAAAAATTCAAAAACTCTTAAAAATAAAAATGAAAAAAACCTTGTCTTTTTACTTAAACTTTCTTTTGCTTCAATAATCTCATCTGCAAAATAGGGTTAATAATATTTTCTTTATCAGGCACCTCAGCCATGTAAATAGCAACAGATGTAAAAAGCTTTAGACAAGGTAGTATTATGAAACATGATAGTTTGATGATAGATCACTTACTATACAAGTGGTTAGTAGAGAAATTACTAGCATTTGAAAAATACTATAAGTAGAACATATGTGAAATTGTAACGTAAGTTAGAAAACTGTTCCCAACTCGGGAGATACCTTCTCTTCACTATAACGAAGATCTGGTGGAATCCCACCGAGTCGGTCCATACAGTTCTGTCTGGTACCTCCCTGGCATCTGATTTCTTCCCTAGCAGTTGAAGATGCATATTTTATGTTTAAAGATATAACAGTTCTTATGATTTCACTCATTCACAAAATGTTTGTAGAAAACCATCTGCAGTGTATGCCAATAGGTAGGTGCTCGTTTATTCCTTGTTTTAAAAGTAGCATTTCTGTGAGCCTCTGGAACAGTCCATGTGCACTGAGGCGTCACTACTGGCATCTGGAGTAGAAAACTAGAAACCTAATAATTAACTGTGAAAATCTTTTAGCTTGATCTTTCTTATTTTCTGGTTTCCAAGTTTATTTTCCTTTTGAAGGACTTTATTTTCTCTGACAGTAGTTTTTTTAAATAAACAGTTTATTCCTTTGGGCTGAATCTTTTCAGAAGCAACACAGAAGTGTCACTAGGAATTACTAGGTGACCGGTGTGGGGAACCCATTGTCTGGGTTTGTTATTTGGTGTTCAAATAGGGTTTGACAGAAGAGTCAGACTTCTTTTCAGTGAGGTGCTGATGCAGTGCTCTCATTCTTGAAATTGAAAGAGAGTGTGTATTCACAGGATGTGCTGTCAAATGTAGCGCACCTCGGAGGCTCCCAGTGCCAGGCTGCATCCTGTCCCTGGGGATGGTGGGGCTGAGGCTTTCCTAGAAGATTGTAGGAGGATTAATATGGACAGAAGTTGCTATTATCGCAAGTATACCTTGAACCTCATTTCAGCCTCTGATATCTATACCTCTTTTCCCCAGCTCTATTCCCCTCACCCTCTCTTCCATGTTATGAGAATGTATTTACCAAGGTTTAAACATTTTTTCTTTTAATTATAAGCTTAACCCTGTGAATTATACAATTGGAAAGGCAGAAAGGGAAGAAAACAAAGGTTTCATATTTGTTCCCTCCAGAAACAATGCATTTAACACTTTATTAACAAACACATACTTCCATGTGCTGGTATATTTTAAATTCAAAGGAAAGTGTATCACATTTATTAGAGCTATTATTAAGCAAATAGTTTCAATATTTAACATAAATATTATAATTTTACCTAAATTCTTTCATAATAGTTTAGTGTGAAAATGGTCTGCAAGTATTTATGTTTGTATGTTGGCTCTTTATATTTTCATTCATTTGATACAATACCAACCCAGAAGAAACATTTTCAGGTATAAATGCTCAGTGTAAACAGGTCATGCAGGGCGTGTCTGCTGAATTTGTCAACAGTATTTTTTTTAAGTTGTACTCAGTTTACTATTGTCATTAACAAGCTGCCAAGCTGTTTGAACATGAGAAATCAGTGCTATTTGAGATTTATACCTCTAAGTGGAAGTTTTAAACCTTAGAAAGGACGTTTTAACTTAAACAGTTATTTTTTTGGATAGGAATAAGATGTTCTTTCCTGCTTGTATGCTAATGGTTCTGATTGAAGACTTATTTATATCAGGCATTTGGTAATAAAGCTTTCTTCCATAAAGTAACATTATTTATCACATTTCACTATAAAGTTAAAAAACTAGATCATTTGAGAGAAGAATTCTAAGGACTCATTTCTTAAAGTGAACATAAAGAATTAATTAAAACCCTTTTCCTAAGTTTTATTAGTAATAGATGTAGAATATCTTTCCATTAAAGTGACATTTTAGGGTGAAGCCAATTTTTAGATGTGTCTGTGAGAGACTTCACTAATTCTGTTATTTATGGTCGTTTGGGGGCTTT